GATTGGGAGTGTGTCTACGAGGATTGCGTACCTTATACTCAGAAGCACCAAACGGTATTCGCTGAAGGTCCTACAAGTTTATGCACCAACCTTGGCAAGTCTCGATGAGGAGATGGGGGAAATATATGAGGATATCTCGAAAACCATGCATTCCTCCAAAACCCACTATACGGTGTTAATGGGAGATTCAACGCAAAGCTAGGCACCAGAAAGAACGGTGAGCTGAAGGTAAAGAAATTTGGGATAGGGCAACGAAACTCAAGGGGCCAGCAGCTGGCCAACTTCATGGAGAAAGAGGGATTCTTTATGACGAACTCATTCTTCCAGAAGCGGCCTTACAGAAAGTGGACCTAGTCGAGCCCGACCGTTCGACAAAAAATGAGATTGACTTCATTATGACGACTTGACGGCAACTGTTCAGTGATGTCTCAGTGATTGCAAGGGTGAAAACTGGCAGCGATCACCGAATGGATAGAGGCACACTGAACCTAAACGTTTAGTTGGAGAGATTTCGTCTAATGAAGTCATCGCTCCGTCCCCCTCGTGCTCTAATCAAAAGTCCCGAAACCTTTCAGTTAGAGTTACAAAACCGTTTTCAGTGCCTAGAAGATTGCAATGCAGTGCGCGATATGAATGACAAGCTCGTGGAAACTGTCCATGCGGTCGGAGCTCAGTTCTGCAAGACCCGCCGCAGAAGAACACAAACTCCGATCACACTCTTAATCTCATGGCTGTTAGGTGGGAAATGAAGCTGCGGTCTTTAACAGATTTCACAGCATACAGGTAACTGAACAGACAGATCTCCAAATACATGCGGCGGACAAAAATAAGATCATGTAGACATGATCTCTATTGTTAACATTAAAATGTCCATGTCACACCTATGCCGGTAGTTGTTGGGAGCACTAAGCTCGAAGTTGTTGACGAGTATGTTTACCTGGGACATAGTCCGACTAGGTAAGTCCTACATCGACCGAGAGGTCAATCGACGGATTCAACTAGGCTGGGCAGCGTTTGGGAAATTACGGCACATCTTCTCGTCAGGTATACCTCAAAACCTGAAAACTAGATTGTACAACCAGTGCGTGTTGCCAGTGATGACGTACGGATCTGAGACGTGGTCCTTCACTGCTGGCAGTATGAGGACGCTCAAGGTCGCTCAGCGAGCTATGGAGAGGGCTAGAGGGGTTTCTCTGCATGATAAACTTAGAAATGAGGATATCCGCAGTAGAACCAGAGTGACCGACATAGCCCAACGGATTAGTAAGCTGAAGTGGCAACGGGCCGGCCATATAGCAGGAAGAACCGACAATCGATGGGGAAAAAAGGTTCTCAAGTGGCAGCTTTGATGAAGTGACGACCTGGTAAGACATGCAGGAAGTCGATGGATGCAGGTGGCTCAGGACCGTGCTTTGTGGCGTTCCTTGGGGGAGGCCTATGTTCAGCAGTGAACTTGTGAAGGGCTGTAATGATTATAGTGATGGCAGCACACATCTATCTTCTCTATTGAAATACAGATGTTTTTGTCAGCGAGATGTAGGTCTTTTATCTCACTAACAAAATGATATGAATCCTTTGTGTGTGCTTTGTATGTCCTGTCAGTGGTGACAGTATTTTGCCAAGTATTTTGCCAGCTTATAAGTCGGTGAATCGATCTGGCTCACTATGGAGTGTACAAGCTAAATTGTAAATGTGGTCTCTCTTACATAGGTCAAACAAAAAGATCCATAAAAACCCGCGTGAAAGATCACTACAGCTGACGTGAAGCACCGACGCTCCGGGAAGTCCGCAGTCTGCGAACATGCTCAAGATCGTCCCCACCATTATATTAGATTTGAACCACAAATCCTCGCAAAAGAACACCGGTTCCTACCAAGGATGATACGCGAGGCTATTGAAATTTAAAAAAAGACATCCTAATTTTAATAGAAAAGACAGATGGGTGCTGCCATCTGTTTGGGATCCTATTATTAACAAAATTAAACCCAAACCCAAGCATACCACTGCAAAACTTCAAGATACTGTAAGCTCATTCTGCGTAGATCGGACCAAAAATTAATATTCAAAAACTAAAGGTAGCCGGACTATGACATTGGGACGTCAAACATCTTAGTCCCCCCTATGACCATGCGTGCTGTAAAGCACCCGTCCCGTCGGGAATTAAAAATAAGTTAAAATAGTTCATTAAACGCGATAAAATCCGTAAATATAGTTTCATTCAATGTATAGTGTTCACATAAATTTAAGGAATCATTAGTATACAGTAAACTTTATAGTGTACAATCGAGTGGGGGGGTTTCTCGATATACCCTCAATTCCACCTCGACACTATCGATATGACGCTGGATGATTGATAATTTATTTTTAACAACAGTAACCCCAAAAAGAAAATCCTAGTGTGGGGTACACTAGGATTTTCTCGTGTATTGTGGAGGGAGTTTACATATATTAATTTCACAAGGATAAACCTACAGACTCGGAAAAATTACTAATAGTTCCGTGCGGGATTCGAACCCCGCGATCCTCAGCGCCTTATTTCATTGATAAGCCACCATGTCACAGAGCCATTAAATGATGTAACCCAACTAGTATTTTGAAATAGAGACGCACTCGCAAAACGACTAAAGTTAACTATAGCAATTTATACGTAGTATAGCCACGCTGCAACTATGGTTATAGCGGGAATTGGTCTGCTCGACCGGGGTATCACGGGGGACCACGCACTCACGTAATACCAGCGTAAAATAGCAGCTCAATACTGTTGTTTCGTATGTTAAATGTAGAGAACCGGAGACTCTTTTTTATTGGAAACGAGCCATTCCATTTTAGTCCTCACCATTGACAACTCATGTATATTTTGATTTTTAATTGAAGATAAATATAGATATCGATGGGCCACAGCATCCACTTACCATCAGGGGGACTGTGTGCTCGTTTATCACCCTCTTCTATAAGAAAACAAAAACAAAAACAGCCCTCATGGGTGATAACGCATCTGCATTTTGATTGTAATGGAGAATAGATGTAGATGTTTTTGGGCTACAATATCTGCTTACTATCAGGTGGAATATGTGCTCGCTTATCATCTTATCATCTATGTGTTCGCTCATCACCCTTATTCCTTAAAAAAATGAAAAAATCTGTTCTTAGTTTATTCACTCATTGACCTGCTCTGAAAACAGAACAAGTTATGTGAGTATAACATACCTATAATCAAAAGATAAGAGAGCAATGCCTGATCACAAACAACGTCAGAAAGCCTACAAATCTATATCCATACAAATAAATAAAATTGAAGTATCTGTTTGTAATGTCAAAATAACACCCTTTTACTAAAAGCATATTCAAGTATATACGGTACTTATAACAAAAACACAATTTTTAAAATTTTTGTCTGTCTGTCTGTTTGATCCGGCTAATCTCCGAAATGGCTGGACTGAATTTGACGGGACTGACTGGCAGATAGCTGATGTTATAAGGAGTAACTTTTATTTAAGAAAAAGAATTAATATTTCACACAAAAATATTAGAACCCCAAATTACATGCGGGCGAAGTGGCGGAGAACTAGTATTTTTTATGAATGGTCTAAGCAACACAAGTTAAGTAGTACAAAATTATGACTGTCCTTAAACAGAAACGAAAGTACATTCATTTATTGAATATTAATATATTCAAGGCGCTGAGCACGCTTTTAAGTAAGATCAGTCTGTGAAATTTATGTTTGACGGCTTTAGAGGTATTTTCCGTCATCAGTAAGAGATTTGTCCGTCAGTAAGCAGGATGCCTGTAGGTGAGGTAAGCAATTACCAAATAGAGAAAAAATGGTATATTTCTAATTAATTTAGATCCCAAATTTTATAAAACTGTAGTTAATATAGTATTTTTCATGTCTGTACACATATTATTTACTCAACTGTAATAAATCTCTGATCTTACACTATTATATACTACAAGTGATATTTGTATATTTGTTTGTGTCTATAGTGATTTACGGGAGCAAAAAAGGATCGAGCTAATTCAGATAGGAAAGAAAATTTCGTTTACTTCATGTTTTTACGCATATAGCAACAAATATGACATCTCAATAGCTCAATGACTAGAGCGTAGGTCTGCCATGCCAGGGAAAACGAGTTCGCATCCTGCAATGTAATCTGATATTTTAGTTTTAAATTTTGCTCTTCAATATTATAGTGTAGTGTCCACACGACATATTGCATTAGTGTTTGAGACGTACAACGGACTAATTACAGCAATATGCCTCTTATTGAAACTATCCTTTATTAGATACTCTGACCCTGTCAGGGTATTTTAGCCCACACACTTTTACACGCCCCACTGCTACGCAACAATATATTATTATGGAATATTATTTTACGGCGCTATGCATACAATTTAACCGTGAGGTAAGGCTTTGTTCGAGAGTTCCTATTTAATCTTTAAATAGTTTTTTTTAATAATTAAAATAAAAAATTTATATATTATAGTATGTAATGTACTTCTCGTAAACGGCACAGAATAAATAATAGTACGACGTATCTAACGATTTGGATTACATTTTGTATTTAGATAATGTATACGTGGTAGAGCCATGCTGCATTTATATTAGTAGTATAGTTGTATCACGAATGGGTCGGTTCGACCGGGGAAGGACCACGCTCTCACAGAATACCAGCGTGAAATAGTAGCTTAATGCTGCTGTATTTCGTATGGTGAGTGTAGAGAACCGGAGACCCTTTTTACTGGAAACGAGGCATTCCATCTTAGTCCTCACGGGTGACAACGCATCTGCATTTTGATTCGCAATCGAGGATAGATGTAGATGTCTATGGGCCGCAGCAACCACTTACCATCAGGTGGACTGTGTGCTCGTTTGTCACCCTATCCTATAAAAAAAAATGTTTAAGTTTCCAAGTTTATCTAGGTAAGTGTCAACCCTGAGAAAATTATATAAAATATATATGTGTTCTTAAATGTTTTAAAATGTATTTATATTGCTTTGATGGCATTAGAACGAAAGAAAGGAATTTCATTAAGTAACTCGCAACGTGTAAGTATTTGGGGGCCTGGAATCTGTGAATTGTTGTAGTATTTCCACTCGTAATAATATACTATAAATGTACAGTGTACACATAGGCTATGTCGAGAGTCGAGGCTAAGGGCGGCGCGGCTGCGCGCGTTATCGAGCGTGGGCGACCGCGCATGTCACTCCGGCCGCTTCCAACTAGCGGTATGAACTACTTATCGGCACCCCATACTCAATTTGTATTTGCACGAAATATTGCATTCACGTGAGACGGACAAATAATGCAGAACTGTTCACCATGCGAGCGGTCACTTCAATGTAAATGTAAGTACCTACTATTTTTAAATAAATATAAAAAAAGTTTTGTAAGCAAAACTTTGATTGGATTTTCGACATGTGAAGCCTTCATGCTGTGTAACTTTCGAGTAATGCGTCATATTGCTATTGTTTTGATGTAAATTCATTTCAAGAACGACGCAAATAATTTTTAATAACTTTCTTACATACGTGAATTGCGTTTGTATTGAGTTTTTTTTTTACTTTTTTATCTACTAGGACCAAATTCATCTTCGATCAAGCCTTTGTTATGAAATATAATGATTTATTAATTAAGTTCTGATGGTTACTTTGATAGCTAACTTACATAACATCCCTCTGGGTTAAATAACGTAGTATACCTTTATTTTAATTTAAATAACCTTGGGCGGTACTTTGTAGTATATATCTTAGGGTAGCAACTTGACTTATTTTTAATAGATTTAAGCCTATCTTCGCAATTAAATCATTGTATTATATATTTATTACATGGACTATATTAAGCCTCTATTTATGCATTGTTATACAGGTAACCATACTTTCGCGTATTTGGACTTAGTGTACCCACAGAGATCTTAATAATTTTATTTAGATTTCTGTGGATGTACCTAATACCTAAGCTCAGATTGTATAGTCTAAGCATAGATATTTATTAAGTATTGCACTTTTATGTAATGTGTGCTTTTAGAAATTCAGTATAACCATTAATTACAAATCAGGTTTTCTACATAAAATATTTTAATATGCCTTCTATAATATATATGTATGACAATTATCACAATTTCCATTTATTGTATTTTTAAAACATTAAAGTTAAAGTAATGGCAGGGAAAGAGAAATAGCAATACAAGATATTTGGTAAATCCAAGAGGTCACAGCTCAAGAGCGTTTCATTTACTTAATTTTCATTAAAAAAAAACTACTTGTATTCCTAACTTTTTAAATATATTATTTACGTGTTTAAAATTTAGCGCTTTAGGGAGTTATTTTAACAGGTAGCGTCACCTACAGGGAAAAAATGTTAATGTTTACCAAAATAAATCTGGGTATATATAGGCTGTATGGTACATTTGTCATTTGTTTATCAAGGGTTAAATAAATATATAATCGCCTTTAAATTTTTAATAGCAATAAAACTACTAACTAATAGGCTATTTATATGAAATAGAATTAGTTAACCAGAAGCCAGTTGATGTGATTCTGAAGCTAATAAAAAACAGGTCTCGATACGTCAATTTTTCGGGAGTTATAATGACCACATACAAAATCAATATCCAGACGTCCACGTATATTGTTTTTCGAACCGTTTTTTCAAAGTAGCGAAGTAAAATGATTTTAGAAAATATAAGATGGATTAATTAATTTTTTCATGATATAATATGAGTAGCCCTCATATTATCGTATAAGCACAGAATAAATAATAGTAGTATAAGTGCAATATGTTTATGATCGTGTCGAGAGTAAAGCACTACCTAATAACGCTTCGCGTTATAAGGCGTGTAATTTAATAGTCACAGCAATACAATATACGATTAATGGAGGTTTTATTTAAAACTAAATGTTTAACAGTATGGGCGGAACGAAAAAAAAAACGTAACATTAAACTGCATTTATCGAATATTATCTGAGTGTGTATTTGTAGGGGCCTATTACACCATAATGTTAGTACGATTAGCGAAGTAGAACAGAATTTGCATATCGTACTGGCATGTAGGTGGATCTGTCCTTTTTGTAAATTAAACTTTCATTCATGCATTATAGCCTGTAAAGTGCACTGCTGAACAAAAGCCTATCTCGTAGTTTGCCTCAAGGGGGTATTTTGCCTTAGTTGACACGCTGGTCGAGCGGATTAGCAAGCGAAGTTTTTATTGTTTTGAGTTGTTATCGGGAAGATGCTGCTGCCCTTATTTACGACAGCCTCGGTACGATATGGGGTTGGGGATATTCTTACCCTGTCACTTAGTAAAATATGCAGGGTTATTTTGCAATAACCGACCAAATTCGGAGAGAAGGTTCAGAACAAGTAATATAGGTAAATGGTGAAGAAAAATTATATTTAAAAAAAATCTCCAACACTGTCCTTTTTATCTTTTAAATTCAAAATGCGTGGCAATGTATTATTTTTAATGATTTTACTGCGCATGTACACATTCATAAATGTCGATCGGTAGGCAAAAACGTTGTTGCTCATTCAATTTACTCGGTTTTTCAAAAACTTCAATAACGGTATATCATTATTTATATATTTTAACTTAAGTTCAAAATTTGGCTACTCATTGAAAAATAACCCTGTATTATATTATTTCTAACTGTAAAATCAGTTGGGATTAGGTTATCTCATCATATTTTCAATACTTATTGTTAACTTTCATTCAAAAAATGTGTGCAACATAATACAATTATGATCTAGATCGTGTTTTCTCCAGAGCCAGGCATTAAATTTGCGCGAACGCTCTAGTAGGTAATCTGTTGTTAAAACGAATCTGCCGCAATCTCTCGCAGCTTCTATGATTTGTCACATTTTATTTTTTAACCCCAATACTTCATCTAAAACGACTATGGTATGAGTTTAAGGGACATTGATTTGTTTTTGCTTATATCAATGATCTGGAATACGTTTAGAGTCTGACTTTTTGATAATAAAGTATAATTGCAAAGGTTTATTCTTAAAATTGTTCAGTAGTATTTTATTCAATAAGTTGTACGATAACGCAGACGCACGCACTTCTTACCTGATTGTGGCGAATCCCAAACGGGAGTTTGTTTTGGCCGATACGCATAAATATCATATAATGTATCGCAATCATTTGTCACAATAGCATGCGTATAAGCAGTAAAGCATTATTTATATTTATTACAAAAATGTATTTATTTATATTTAGTAAATAAAAAATATTCAAATAAAATCTTTGCTATTGATTTGACACCACCCTTACAAAGATTAACCAAAAAAATCACTTAATCATACTTACGTAAACTTGTAAAATGTTATGGTGTCATATGCGTCTTTTCATGAAAAGGCACCTCAATTAGACAATGTCAAATTACTTAATTTTCAAAGGTTTTAGGAGATTTTATACACAATCGTTGAAACGTAACCCTACCTCTATTTTTGACACTACACACTTGTATCAGCACTAATATTATAATAAAGTTAAAAGCCAAAAAATTATTTTAAAGAATATTATGCTTTTACTAGAAATAATATACATATTATTATAAATTTCTAAGAGAAATACCAAAACATCATAAACACTAATAAAAACTTAAAACAAACATTCAGAATAATAAGAAAATTGTTTAAACATAAAATTCAAACTCAACAGCTGGCTGACTCGATAGAGAAGGAGGGATTCTTATGATGAACTGTTTTGAGAACCTGAACCAGCCACGACGATTTAACACACTAGGTATAAGACTAACTTCATTATGACAAACAGACGTCAACTGTTCAGTGATATCTAAGTGTATAGGAGGGTGAAAAATGGGAGCGATCAAAGTTAACTCTCCGTCCCATTCGTGTTCCATCCAAAGCTCCAAAAATTTTCGGCTTCAATTACAAAATTATTTTCAGTGCATAGAAGATTGCAATACAGTGGACAATATAAATGACAAGCTCGTGGAAACTATACACGTGGTAGAAGCTAAGTTCTGTAAGAACCGTCGCAGGAAAAACAAAATTTTCAGATCTCATGCTTAAGCTCTTGGCTGTAAGACGGGAAATGGAACCAAGGGTAAACGGATATGAAAACGTATAGGCTAACAGCATTTAGGCAACTGGTCAGACTAATCTCCAAGTGCAATGCAATACAACAAAAACTTTAAAATAATTCATATTGAAGAAGCGATTGAGATTAACCAAGGCTCTATAGTCTTTGCCAGAGATCTGTATGCCGTAAAGAATCGCATATCTAATTTGAAGACCGATTGCGGCAGCGTCATTTCTGGGATATCTGATATTTTGAGTGAAATCGAGAGGTGAGAAGACACAAGAGAAGGTCTTATCCGATACTATTCCGGTGATATAGCGAATGTCTATCTGAGCAATGTTAGAGATTCTCCAACACCTTAAAATAGCTAGGCCTCGAGTGAGGATGGAATTACAGTGTAGCTTCTTAAAGCGGTTCTCAGATGGCTACTGAAAGTCCTACAAAAGCTCTACAATTCCGTCCTCCATTGGACAGGCGTCGAGCAAAAGTGCGGTGGTTTTGGTTTTCGAGAAAGGTGATAACACTCCTTGAAGAATCGTGAAGTATTCAGAGCCAGGTCTACGTGCTGTTTCGAGAGTTATTACGAATCGTCTCGCACACAAACTTGAGAACATTCCGGTCAAGCCGTTTCCTGAAATAGCCTTAGTACTATTGTACACGTAATATAGTTTATGTGACAGCCACGCTGCAGCCATATTATGGTATATGTAACACGTCCCATATTGGGTCAGCTCAGTTGGAGAAGGACCACACTATCACAGAATTGCTGCGCAAAATAGCAGCTTAATGCTTCTGTGTTTCGTATGGGGAGTGTAGAGAACTGTAGGCCGAATAGGTACACTGGGGACGAGGCATTCTATCTTAGTCCTCAGAGGTGACAAAACATCAGCAATTTGACCCTTAACCGAGGATAGATGTATTTAATGTCTACGGGCCACAGCATCCACTTATCACCAGGTGGACTGTGTGATCCCTTTTGACCCGTATTCTATATCAAAAAACACGGTTATATAATGTATCAAACACGTAGAAGTTTCTATCTTTTATTTTTAAAACCTTGTGATAAATCAGTAATAATAAATCACAATTTAAATAGAAAATGTGATTTTTTCGTTTAATTATTAATAATATATCTTCATTATGGTTGTAGAAAATTTTAATAAATCGTCCTGTACGGCTCAACGTGTAATGGCGGGGTAAGAATTTTCACTATCCCATATCATCCTGCGGGTTTCGTAAGAGGCGAAAGAAGTAAATATGGGACTACCTATGAGAGAGTCCAATATACAGCAGTGAACT